AGCTCCATCCAAGGTGCTGCAAAAGACATGTGTTTCTCTTTTTTGGTTGCTGAGTAATATTCCATTGTCTTTATGTACCACATCTTTTTTATCCAGTCATCTAAAAAGTCGATCTATTTTTAGTGTCACCAGGAATATGAAAAGAGTTTCCCTTCAGGCCTACTGAATGCTGTTTTCCTTTTCTTTTAATTCATCTTGGATGTCACTTCCTCCTTTTCATTTGACGATGTGCAACATTCAAGAATTGTTGCAAGCTGAAATTCTGAGGTTGAAAGCAGGGGAGACACAACCTTAAAATGTCTTCACCCGGTGATGGCACATGGGTGGTTTGGTGATGGGACACCCAAGGAGATTGCAAAGGAGATGGGGAAAATGCACAAAAATATGTAAAAAAAAAAAAATAATACTATTATAAAATTTAAAAAAAAATGTCTTCACCCGGTCTTCCCTGCTGGCGCAGCGGGTTAGGACACAGCACTGCAAGCCAGCCACAGCCACTCCCACATGAGTTCAATCCCCAGCCCTGGAGGTGACCCACATGGCACGGCAGACCTCTCCTGACTCACCTGCTGCTCCCCTCAGCAGTGTACTTCGTCGATCTGCCTACTCTGCTCCCCACTCTGTCTCTGGTGAATCCTCTCACTGCTCCTGCACCTCTGGCCTGTACCCCAGCTCTGTATGCACAAATAAATATATTTTTTTAATACTCTTAAAAATGTCTTCACCCTTTTAGCCTCACGATATGAAGCTGAAGCTCAAAGGGTGATATTTAAGACCCAAGCCACACATGCGCAGCCGTGTCTGTGACTGGCTGGACGGGACAGGTTCAGCTGGCTGGCGTGTGTCCATGCAGCCTGCATCCCGCGCCTGGCAAAGAGCAGACAGCTGGGGGTGGGTGCTGAACTGCACCCTTCTTGGGAGCATTGGCTGAAATTATTCAAGGCAAGCAAAAGTGAGTTTGTTAGAGTCCAGAGTGAAGGATCAGGCCTGGGAAGAGCTTCCAGAGAGTTCTGTAAGGTTACCCCAGCTCTGAGCTTTTCAGTGAGACCATATAGGCTGGCCTCTTCACAAGGATGCTACACAAAACTTTTCAGGCTTCCCACCCAAGCAAAGACAATCTGGGTTGGGGTCCAGTTCAGGGACCTATTTGATGTGAGCTAAGCATCAAGGAAAACAAAGAGAAGGGTGTTAAATTCACCCCATCTTCCCAGAGCAGTACCTTCTGGCAATGGGCAGTTAAGCAACTGAACGGAGATTCTTTGAAGTTACTCTGGAGGCGGCAATTTCCAAGGCTGCGTCCTGGCCCCCAGCTGTGGCCCTTGGTTGGGAGTAGGGACAGGGCACCCACTTCATTGTTAGCTTGTTAGCAGCAGTGTTCCGAGTGGGGTGTCAGGAGCCTGCTTCGCCATCGCTCCCCGCGCTCTCCTTACCAGCCTGCCGGTGTGTCTGGCCACCATGCTGCCCAAGTCGGTGACACTTCAAACGTTTGCTTCAATCGCCCGGGGAAAGTGCACCCGTTCTTTTTTGACCCTGTGTCCCAGATTCGAATTGGGAAAATGTGATGACTACTATTTTGGTGGCTTGGGGTGGCCCGTCCGCTAGAAAGCAGCTTATTAGGAAGAACAACTTCGTCTTCATCATTCCAAACCCACCCTGCCTTCCCTCCTACGCATCCTTTCATTCTAAAATTGGTTCTTCTTGCTCTCTCATCCTTTAGCGAGCTGCTATTCTTTGAAAATATGGATCCTAAAATAGCACTCATCTCTTTTCTCCTCTCCAAGCTCTGTGTATGTGTGTGTGTGTGAGAGAGAGAAAATGGGTTCCGAAAATATAATTTTCCTTAATGCTTTATAGGCAACGATATAGAAGCTAAAGGCAATGATATATCCAGTAAGCAATGCCTATCAAATTAATTCCTCTGAGGACTTCATTGTGTGGCTGACAGCCGAGTGGTATTTGAATGTCACAAATCTCACTGCTTTCCACTGAGCATACAAATTAAAGTTGGCGTGGCCAATGAAAGATATTAGCTGTAGGTGTCAATCATATACGGGCTTGCAGTACAGTGCTATGAATCCCTTGCCTTCAGTGAATGTTGTAAAGGGGAGAATGATAAACATGCTTTCAGGAATGACGGAGCAGGCCAGCATAGCCGTAGGGTGGCCCAGGGAGTGGGTACCAGGAGGAGAATTCTGCCAAAGCTTTGATTCCAAATTCTTCCCATTCCACGGGCTTTCTTACAACCCAGCACTTAGCTTTTCCTTCCAGATTCCTCCTCCTAGGAACATTCTCCAGCAGCCAATCTTGTGAACTGGCAGTCTCCAACCTGGGTGGATATGGAAGCGGTCCCCACCCCCACCCTTTACCCCAATCAATAGCTTCAAGTCAGATGTTTGGTGCAGACGGACAGGTCTGGAGGGGTGGGGTGCCAGGATTTGTCTTTCATTTCCCCATTAGGGTTTGTAATTCCCCACCAAAGAACTTGAGCCGTTCAAGTTCAAGGTAAATGAAGAAGCCTCCTCTGGGAGGTAGCTGCCACCTGTGCAGGGAGCACATTCGTGGGGGAGGAAGGAGCTGGGCACACGGGCCAGGGAGCCCCGATGGTGCTCACCCCGAGGCGTCCCTGTAGCAGCCAGCTGGATCCTGGGGCCAGGGAAGGGTCTGGCATGGACCAGAAAAGGCTGGTCTCACCATAGCAGGACGCACTCCACGCTGGGCCCGGTCTGAGGCTGTCAGAGCAAGGGGCAACGGCTGAGCTGAATTACAAGCTTGTGGTGGACCTGAGTGAAGACGAGAGATGCTCCCCTTGCCTCCCCCCACCCGTATTGTTCATGGCCCAGCACGTGCGATGGCTCCTCTGGTGGCTGAACACTTTCTGGGGAACATGCGCAGCAGCGAGAGTGAGCCAGTCCTGCTCTGGGGGACTGTCCTGCGGGCGGCTCAGAGCAAAGTGCCACTTACACCTGGCCCTGCCAGCCTCACCCGCGCTAGTGACTTCCTTCTAATCCTGCCACTGTGTGAACGTCCCGGCTTCGCCATATTTGGCTCAGCAACGACGCGGGCTGGTTTAGGGGCCAAAGAGCTGGGGATCTGCAGGGGAAATTGGGAAGAAGCCTGCAGGGGAGACTTGCCCTTCGTGTTCAGGGCAGCGTGGTCTGCGGTCGCAGGTGATCAGCCATGAACGGACAAAGCAGATGCTCTGATGCCTTGCTTGGCTTCCTGTTCTCCTCCTGTAAATGAAACCATCCGATGTCTTTCTTTGTCCCTTTGACTTACATTCACTGAGCACCAGCGGGAATAATAACAATATAAAACTGACACCAGCTATGCAATGTCTATCTGGAATATGTCTGCTGTCGATAGAAACTGCATAGCTTGTGCCAAAGCCGCTCCCACCTTAAGACCCTGCCTGTTCTGCCCACCAATAACCCGTGATCAGGGTCAGTCTCTGACGTAATACAAAACAAAACGTAATACAAAACAAAAACAGACAATTATGAACCAGAGTTATCCTGCAGGGCGGGGCAGGGAGAAGGCTGGGAAGTGGGGAGGGAGGAAGGCACAGAGGCCGTTGGGGGAGGGAATTCTGGGGGGTCTACACCTGAGAAAAGAAAGCAAACATTGTTTCAAAACGACCGATGATGTAATATATATATGTAATATATATATGTAATATATATAAATATGTAATATTGTGTGTGTGTGTGTGTGTAAAGTAATTAAAAAAAGAAAACAAAACCACAGTCTGTCCACACAGCAGAAAATGACTGAGTCTGAACAGGGAAGGACGTCAGACAACAGCTACCACACGCAGGTGGGGCACCGTGCTCAGTAAACAAACCATCACGCACCAAAAGGAAATATCAAAGGGGAAAAAAGTAAACAAAGAAGTAAGCCAGCCGGAAAAGGACAGAAAGCACGTGACTGCACTCACAGGCACTAGCCAGAGTCATCAAATTCAGGAGACGAAGGTACAGCAGAAACGACCAGGGAAGGGGAAGTGTTTCCGGAGAGCAGTTTCAGATTTGCAAGATGAAAAACTCCCGGAGGTCCCTTTACAACAACGTGCACGTATTCAAACCCCACAGAGCTGCAGACTTGAACACATCCCCGGCCAGGGAGTGACCCACCGGGCGTGGCAGACCTCTCCTGTCTCCCCGCTGCTCCCCTCAGCAGTGTGTTTCAGTACAGCTGCCTGTTCTGCTCCCCGCTCTGTCTCTGGTGCATCCTCTCACACCCCCACCCCTGGAATCTCTGACCTGTACCCCAGTTCTTGTATGCATAAATAAATCTTTAAAAAAAAAAAGAAATAAGGCAGAGTATTCTAGTACATACTACAGCACGATGAACTTGAGAAACATTGTGCTATTGCAGAAAGTCAGATGCGAAAGTCCAGTGTTGAATGATGCCGTTCACCTGAACTACCTGGGAGAGTCAAATTCCAAGTTGGATGGAGCTTGCCGGGAGCTGGGAAGATGGGGGGTGGGGAGCCAAGTTCTCTCTGTGCTGTTTCTATTTGTGGAGGAGCAGGTGAACGCACTCAGTGCACCCAACTGGCCACTCATGATCAGAAATGCCACTTTTACCACTCATGCCCTCACCGGCCGCTCTAAATTCTTTGAACACATCATACAGCAGAAGGGGTGCGTAACCTCAGGCCTCCTTCCCAAGTAATCTCCACCAGGTGTGGTCACGCCTTGATGTTTGGGAAAAGCCAGAAGAATAGACTAGCATGTTCTCTGGTGAAAAAGCAGAGCAGGGAAGCAGCAGCGCCCCAGGAGCTGAGCCTGTGCGGGGCACAGTACCTGGAGGAGAGCTCCTTACCTGTTACCCTGTTTCCTGGGTACTTCTGGTACCTGCGGGGGGCCGGCAGGGGGCGCTGCTGCAGGTGGGCTCCGCTCCTGGAGAAGCACTGGCCTGGCCAAAGCGCCTCAGGGTATGGAAACCACTGTCCAGGACTCGGAATTATTAGTAGGACGTTCCAGTGGAATGTTGGGTGCAAATCCAGAGCCTGGGTCTGCTGACGTTTGTGCTTGTTAAAACTTCCCCAGCTGGGCCCCCCCACGTGGTGCATGGGTTAAGGCGCAGCACTGCCAGCGAGCACAGCCTCCTCAGAGTTGGATCCCCCGCCTTGGGGATGACCACAGGGCGCGGCAGACCTCTCCTGACTGCCCGCTGCTCCCCTCAAGCAGTGCACTTCATCAGTCTGCTTCTGCTCCCCGCTCTGTCTCTGGTGAAGCCTCTCACTGCCCCTGCTCCTCTGGCCCATACCCCTGTTCTGTATGCACAAATAAATACAAGTAAAACTTCCCAGCTGGTTCTCAGCCCCCCAGAACCGGTGCTGCCCAAGCTTGCATTCAGGAGCCCAGCGCTCCCCAGAGTGGTCCCCGGAACAGCAGCAGCAACACCCAGCTGCTGATCAAGATGGGAATTTCCAGCACCCCTGTCCTACTGAGTCCCATCCTCTGGGGCGGGGCCCAGATCTGTGTCTCACAAGCCCTGGGGTTCAGGTTTGCACTAAAATCTCATACCCCCGACTCGATCTTTGAACTTCTTGGCTCAAAGATGCTGACCCCGACCAGCATGTCTGGACCTTCCATGTGGAGTTTCCCCAGGTAAGCAGCATTGTTTCTGGAGAAAGGAACTGGCTTTTTTGTTTACTTCTCTGTTTTTTGTGTTGACCTGGAAATGTGGTTTGTATATTATAGGAGGTAGAAAAGTGAAGAGAATTAGAAATATTCAGGTACCAGAGGCCACTTTTTTTTGTTTGTTTTTTTGATTCCATAAAAGGAAGGGGGTTTTTTTGTTCAGTAAAAGGAAAAGTTTTCTTATAGCTGGTGCAGGTTTTAAATTCCTCTGGCCCTAGGAAAGGGTGTCCTGGAAGGTCCTCTGGAGGAGATGCATCTGGATGCCACAGGACATCTGGGAACAAGCTAGACGGGCCTGCTGAACAGTGAGAGAATCAGCGGGCCTCGCTAAACGTAAGCTCTGAAATTCCATTGCCAGGTTCGGATTTGGCACGGCTGTGTGACTCTGTGACTCTGGGCCTGGCTCGGTTCTCAGGTGATTTTGAGGTAGGTACCAGGTCTGAGAATTACTAAAGCAGGTAAATTTTCCCGCTCTTCCCTATTCTATGACTGTATGAATGAGCTTAGCTTCAGAAGGTTGGAAAACGAGAAGCGATTAAAGAATTTACTCCTTCAGGTAAATCTACATGAAAAGTAATACAAATGGTGGTGTTTTCAGCTCTGTAAGGCACCAGAGCATGGTGTTGCTTGACTGTGGCGAAGGTTTGGGTTCAAGGAAGAATTTCTTGACCATGAGGATTAGCAAACTAAGAATGCCCTAAGAGTTGGTTATGGAAGATTCTTCTCTAGAGAGTTCTAAAACAAAGGAGACGTCTCATCTGTCTGGAACTCGGCTGGGGAATGACTTTAAGTTTCTTCCAGCATGACGCTGTTATTCTGATTTACACAAGAGCATGGAAAGGAACACAGCTGGCTTCCCTCACACTCCCAGGACTGCTGGGGGTCCCCTCCTGGCTAGCTTGCTGATCAAGCAGACTCAGCAGGCAGTGACCGGATGGAGTATCCACACAAGAGTAAGACCTGGGCTGGGACAGAGGTCGCGTCTTTCTTGACACAGTCACTAGTTCCCTGCGGATGACTTCAGCGACTCCAGCTTTTGTCTGTGTATCCGTCATCCGGCACCATGTCTCCAGTATGGAAAAGGAAGAAACTTCTACCTGACGGTATCTTTTTCTGTGGTTGTGATCTTGAAATACAATGGCCTTAGACTTCAAGGTCAAAGTTGCTGAAAAGGGACTATCTTAAATAAAAAGGGAGGCAGGAAGGAAGGCTCTGAATAAATACAGATAAGAATGGAAGCTGGAGAGGACAGGCCCCACCCTGGGGAGAAAGACAGGGACAGGACCAGTCTGGGCCCGCCCAGCCCTGAGGGGACACAGCCTCACAGAGCTCAAGTCCCTTATGTATTTCTGCTTCAGGGAAGAGGAGTGTGTTTTCAGTTAGAGGCAAACCCCAAACTGATGTTGAGGCCTCTCCCTGGTGGCGCAGCAGGTTAAAGCACAGCACTAGAAAGCTCTCCACAGCCACTTCAGCAAGAGTTTGATCCCC